TTGCCCATGGCAAATTGTGGATGACTGTGGTGGGGCCTTTACGACGGGTACCATTGGTGGAGGTATCTTTCAAGCAATCAAAGGTTTTCCCAATTCTCCAGTGGTAGTAAACCACAGACTACAAGGGAGTTTGACAGCTATTAAAACCAAGGCTCCGCAGTTAGCAGGTAGCTTTGCAGTTTGGGGAGGCCTGTTTTCCATGATTGACTGTAGTATGGTTCAAGTTAGAGGAAAGGAAGATCCCTGGAACTCCATCACAAGTGGTGCCTTAATGGGAGCCATACTGGCAGCAAGAAATGGACCAGTGGCCATGGTTGGGTCAGCTGGTGGCATTCTCCTAGCTTTAATTGAAGGAGCTGGTATCTTGTTGACAAGATTTGCCTCTGCAGTTTCCCAATGGTCCTCAATTTGTGGAAGACCCCTCCCAGTTGCCTTCAACTCAATTACCTTCCTTACCTTTTGGAGACTACCGACAATATCAGTAGGATTTCTTTCCTAGGATTTCTTTAACAGAATGAGTTGTAGTTCGAGAAGGATTTCAGAAGATCAAGTTACAGTCCATTTTTAAAACCATGGGACAGCTATGGCTAATAGGCTATAAAGAGACATTTGGCACTTTTTTCTATTTAAAGGAACAAAGGGGAAGGGGGTGCTAAAAGATAATGCATTTATTTATTCACACTTGAATTGCATTTGTGGTAAAAATAAATGTCTAAATCATTAAAGGAAAATACAGTAAGTGCTTGAAAGGTGAAGGACCAAAGCGCCAAAAAACAGTGAAATATGATTATCATCTCCTTGGGGATTTCTCTGCCTGGTTTTGTGTGTTCTGTTATTCAAACAATAAAATGCTGGAACTTAAAAAAAAAAAAAATTAAATTAAATGAAAAAGAGAAGATTCTCCTCTACAGGTATCTGGCCTCAAAGAACAGCTATAAAAATCCCAAGGCAAAGATTTCTAGCACAGTCCTTGCCTTTCACATTGCTCATAGTCTTATTGAGAAGGGGTCTCTAAAATCTGAGGCTGGAAACTCTGGGAATGGAGAGGCCTTCAGCCACCATCAGTTATACTTCAAAAATGATTTCAATCACTTATATACTTTGGGTTCAGTCTAGATTTTTGAAATTTCTGGAATTACGTACATCCAAGAAACACCTAGACCCAAAAATGAATATCTGGCAGATTTTTCATCCCTAAAAGATGCTTAGTTCTCCAAAAAGCACCTACCAGTCTGGCTTTTTTTTTTTTTTTTTGAGACAATCTCACTCTGTCACCAAGGCTGGAGTGCAGTGGCACAGTCTCAGCTCACTGCAACCTGTGCCTCCTAGATTCAAGCAATTCTCCTGCCTCAGCCTCCTGAGTAGCTGGGATTACAGATGTGCGCCACTAGGCCCAGCTAATTTTTGTATTTTTAGTAGAGACAGGGTTTCACCATGTTGCCCAGGCTGGTCTCAAACGTCTGACCTCAAGTGATCTGTCCCCCGAGCCTCCCAAAGTACTAGGATTATAGGCGTAAGCCACAGCGGCCGGCCGAGCACCCAGTCTTGACAGTTACCACAGGATGCCACACTGAGTAATCACAAAATTGGATACTGTGATCAGGGAGAAAACTCACCTCTCGTTTGATAGGCTCCCCTTCGCAGTGGATCACTGTGTCTGGAGCAACGATGCAGTAAGGGCTAGGATCTGTTTCCACCACTTTGAACTCCACAGCACGCATCCCACCACGGACAAGAAAAATGTCTCCTGTGAGAGCAAGCAATACAAGCACAGTAAGAGGTGTCAGCTACAAGACAAAGTGAGAACTCATCAGACCCTGGGTCAAAATGCCAAGCTCATTAGATACTGCCCTTCATTAGATATTATCCTCTCTCCAATGCCACCCCAACTGTCTTAATAAGCAGTAGGCAAGAGGAGAAGGGTAAACTGTGAAGAGTCCCTCTGCCACTCAGGAGGTCAGTGTAGAAAACCTGACATGCCAGAAGTCAAACAAGTTTTGACTTCTGCCATATAAGTAGCCCAGGCTTTACTACAACCACCAATGCTAGAACTGTGCACTCTGGACCCTGACAGAGTCGAAATGGACCACCTCCTCCTTCACAGATCCATAAGGATAGCTTACTCTCCTGGAACAAAGAAGGGGAGAGATGGAGGAAGAGAAGGATGGAGGAAAAGAAGGGCGGAAGACATATGAATCTGTGTGCAGGATGCATGTGTGTATACAAATATATAAAAATGAGACTAGGTATGATGGCTCATGCCTGTAATCACAGCACTTTGGGAGGCCAAGGCAGGTGGATCACTTGAGCCCAGCAGTTTGAGACCAGCCTGGGCATCATAGTGAGACTCCATCTCTTTCTTTCTTTCTTTTTTTGAGACAGAGTCTCATTCTGTCACCCAGGCTGGAGTGCAGTGGCCTGATCTTGGCTCACTGCAACCTCCACTTCCTGGGTTCAAGCAATTCTCGTGCCTTAGCCTCCCAGGTACCTGGGATTACAGGCACTCACAACGGGGTTTTGCCACGTTGGCCAGGCTGGTCTCGAACTCCTGGTCTCAGGTGACCCACCTGCCTCGGCCTCCCAAATTGCTGGGATTGTAGGCATGAGCCATGGTGCTGGGCTGACCCCATCTCTTAAAAAATAAATAAATAAATAAATAAATACAAGGAAAAGCATAAAAGATTAAAAAAAGAAGAAAAATAATGAAATGGAGACATTCCAAGCTGAGTTTCTCTAAATCATTCCCCTACCTAGTGTGCAAAAACTTAACAATCAACAATCCTTAAGCTCAGAATTAGCTCTCACCTTTCCGGATGGGTCGATAAGCTTCTAGGAAGTACGGCTTAAGGTATACCTCAAAGAGATTACCAGTAATGCCTTCCACTGTGTCATCAATGGGCAGCACATGGATACGTTTGCCATACTTCACATCAGGGCATGGCTGGATGCTGAGGATGACAAGCAGACTCCATATTACCAACCACACTTCGGGCCCAAGCACTGGGTGTCCAAAAGGGCCTGGCACAGATAGCTGATAGTAAGTGAAAAAGAAAAGGCAGGGATGGCTTTAGGTGAAGAGCGGAAGGAGAACAGGGTGGATGTGAGGGCAAAAGAACAGCCCCACTCACTCCTAATCAGTGAGCCAAAATCAAGAGCCACACATTTAGAAACCCCACAAAGATATGCAGAGTCTTCAGTGAGATATCCAAGGATAATCCCCTTCTAGCTAATATTGATAACCCGATATTACAAAAGAAGATCTTAAGCTAATAATTGTCAAGGTCAGAAAAACAGAAGTGAAAAAAATAAAATTATCTCAGCCAGGTGGTCAGAACACCTTGAGAAAGTGACTAAGCACCATCAGGAAAAAAGTTACGTGAAACTTAGACTCCATTAAAAAGAATCAAGAGCCTAAGATGATCCTGGCCAGGTGATGGTTGGCTGGGTAGGAGTGGCTAGAGATGACTCCAAGTTGGGGTAACTTCTTGCCTAAAATTATGCAAGAATAAGTGAAATCACTCACACTGGAGCTATCCTGGGTCTGGCTTCAACTATTCCTCTCTCCCAGGTTAATTTAGATGCTTAAAAGGTCTGCTACCAGTTCACCTTCCATGCCCGTACCCCGACCTCATTCCAATCCCAAGCCATTAATTGGACATACTAGTGAGAGTAGTGAGGAGGTCATTTAGCAGATACATACCCTCAAGTGGCATCCTAAACCAAGCTTTAAGTATGATAAATTACATCTCTGGTAGGAAAAAATAGGGCATCAGGAAAAGTTACAGGAATGCCAATTTGTCTCAAGGGACATCCACAGAAAATTTGCAAGTCCCAGGAAGGCAGAACCAAAACCTAAAGACAACCCTGAAGCGTAAGTCTTCCCATGGCCAGGAGGCTTCCTATATCTACAGATGCCAAGAACTTGGTCCTGCCTGTGTGACACATGGATCCTGCCTATAATGCAGGCTATCTCTGGTCTCCTGTCCCTGCGGAACCAAAAACCCCACACACACCTGATGACATCCCCTAGGCGTACACGAAGGTTATTCCGAACAACTCTATTCATTCGAATCTTCTCATCAGAACACGTGTCATCAGAAAGGACGATGCAAACAGCTTCTCGTCTCTTCTTTCCTTTCAGCAACACTGTGTCACCTCGGAACAACTGCAATTCATCCATCTTGGGCTGAGGAAAGAAGGTTAAGGCCTTTGGGTCACTGGGCAGAAGGGAGTAAGCAGCAGCCCTGGAGACTGGGATTCCCAGTAAACCCCACTCTATCTGCAGTCACTGCAAGAAAAATGAGAAAAGAAACCTGGGAAAATCCCTCAAGTCAGTCCAATAAGGAAAGACTAGTCTGTGGCCCCAGCTTACCTGGGACAAGGACACCACACTATTGTCCTCATTGATGGCTTCATCAACAATTAACCGATTGGGACGGTTCTTCTGTTTGAGAATGGCTGTTGATAAGTCATCACCTTTTGAACTAGAAGGAGAAAACTGAGTCAGTCCCAATAGATACTCCAGCCCCAAGAGCCTCACCAGGCTCTAAAACTCAAGAAAGAAATAGTGACTAGATGAAGCTGTCCCTAAACCAGAGAGCTCAGATGAAGGAAATGCAGCCAAAGTCACAAGGAACAATATCTAGCATACACATTAGAATATCCATTCCAGTAGCTCCTAGTGTTTTGAGCATCAATGTCCCAGCTATAAGGCTCCAAGTGAGTGATCCTGCCCCAGGATCAGAAAACAACAGCCTAAGAAGAAGACATAATAGAAATGGAGGCTAACTAGTTACTAGAGAAATAAAAGCAGTCTTAGACTTACAGAAGAGTGGCTAAGAGCAGGAACTCTATAGTCAGATCCATTGGGTCTAAATTCCAATTCTGCTACTGCTTGTGATCTTGGGCAAGTTACCTAACCTCTAAACTTTGATGTCCTCTCCTACAAAATAGAGAGTATAATACTTATCTCAGAGGCTTATTGTCTTAAGGGAGATGATGAATGTAAAATGCTTAACATAATACCTGGCACATGGTATTAATGGTCACCATGATTAACAGTATAAAGTGGGCCGGGCGTGGTGGTTCACACCTGTAATCCAAGCACTTAGGAGGCCAAGGCGGGCAGATCACCTGAGGTCGGGAGTTCAAGACCAGCCTGACCAACATGGTGAAACCCTGTCTTTAAAAAAAAAAAAAAAAAAATACCACAGTATAAAGCATAAGCTAACTTTCCAGGGGAACGAAGTAAGCCAGACAACTGACAACTTCCCCAGAGATGGCCTCAAGTCCCACCAAGCAAGCGTGGGGACAATGAAGCAAAAATCATTGGTGCTACACTTACAGGCTAAGCCCACTGATGCTAGGCATTCCATGGTACCAAAGGAATGCCAAGCATAAAGACCATCATATTTGGAAAAACACTAGCACACATGAAACCACTAGAAAGAGGCTCAAGGTCAAAAGAAATTGCACAGTAATTTCTGCAAAGGCACAATTCCATAGAGTTGGCTCAAAAAATAAAAACAAAGAAATGCTGAGACTTGGGGCAAATCCAAATCCCTCTCACCCAAATCAAGGTCAATTGGGTCTACACATTTTGTTATTTCCTAGAAGCTAGGATCATTCAACAAGCAGTGACACCAACTTATTACCTAGCCCATCTCCAGCCATCACTTACTGGACTCAGTGCTGTCTATTTTTTTTTTTTAAGATGGAGGCTGGAGTACAAAGGCACGGCTCACTGCAACCTCTGCCTCCCGAGTTCAGGTGATTCTCCTGCCTTCCCAGTAACTAGGATTACAGGCACGCACCACCACACCTGGCTAATTTTATATTTTTACTAGAGGCGGGGTTTCACCATGTTGGTCAAGC